ATATTTAATTAAACAAATAAGGTTTACTATTCTGCAACCATCAACATTTAGAATGCTGTCCAAACGGTTTTACATTGACATAAATACAGTACCGACTACACCAAATGTAGTGTACAGGGTGAATAACCTTTGTCATGTAACATGTTGCATTATCATAAATAATATTTTAATAATAAATTGTCTTCAGAATGTTTCTTATTTATAAATTATTTTAGGTTAATGTATTTCTTAAAAATATAACAAAACTGTAAATTATATTTTAAAAATACCTAGTACTCTTGCTGGCCATATATGGTATAACCGGCATTTGTGTTGATATAAAAAAAACATAAATAGTTTAAAATGACAGTTTACAATTTTGATGATTCATAATAGTAGTTTTACCAACACCTAGTAGTGGGTTATCCATTTATCAAATTTAATATAAATTCCATATAGTACAGTTAGCTAAACAATCACAAAACTACAGTTTCCTAGCATAATTATATTTACTTATAACATCAATGACAAATAACTGGCTAATCCCTAGCAATTTATGTATTAAATACTAATTTTTATTAGATATCAGTAAAATAAATGCTATCTATAAATGCTACATTATTTGACAGGTATTAAACTAGTCTATTTAGTACAATTTTACTACATTATCAAAATATAATACTATATTGCTCAATTAATACGAAATAATGTACCGTTAGTAATAAATTATTAGTATAAATGATAAAGTGTAAGAATCAGAATCACACAGTTTAAATAGAAACATGAAGTTGTTCTATCATAATTCGAGTATTGTAGACTTTGGATAATTATTTTATTTACAGGACATTTTTAAATACGGCAAGGTATATTGTTATGAGGGATAGCAGTTTTGGTATCTTGATCATAAGTAGAATATAACCATTACAATTTATGGCTATCATAGACCTGCGCCTGAACTGTGGCCACTTTTGTGTTGTCCGATAACAACTACGATAAATATAATACTTATCCAAAGTCTGGGAAACTATTATGGTGTTTATAAATGGGACTTTACATAATAAAATAAATCCCACAATTCTGTTTTTACACGGGGTAATAGTGGTTCTCTCGCTTTATCATTTATACCAATATTTTTAATTTGAGCTACAATTTAATTATAAAGCTGTACTCTCTCTCTCTCTCTCTCTCTCTCTCTACAAAAATATTTGTGCAATTTTTTAGACACACATATATATTGATTGGCGTAAAATTTAATTTGAAAAACATAACAAAAAATATGGTTAAATAACTTATTTTTTAATGCAATCTTACTGTATAGTAAATATGACATAGTTAACACATAAAATAATTAATTCTCTCTCTCTCTCTCTCTCTCTGTTTTGTTATCTAGAGGGACTTGTATCCAACTGATACCACTTACGAGCATATAAATGAAATAATAAAACCGAGTGTGCATTATACAATCAATATAAATAGGGCAGATCTTATATATTAATAATATAATAAATATTGATCATTAATACAAATAAACTTTATATACAGTACCTGTATGAATAATATTGCCGGTGCATTAAGTTTAATTTGTCATCACATTTCTACCGTATACATGTGCATTCAGTACATTTATGTTTTAATATAAATGCAACAATATAAAGTTACTACAATCTAAATTAATTGAATCGTGAATAACGTGTTTCCAGATTTTTTACAAAATGTATTAAATTTCAATGAAATTTATATAACTTTATAAAGAAAATGTGTTTTTATTTAATACTTTAAAGTAAATAATAAATTAGTGTTGGTATAATTATTTATTCATTCATCATGGTACAATTGTCGCCTAAAATTATTACCAGGCTGAAATACACAACAATATACTTTTTCATACTGATTGTGCTGTATATGACTCTCAATATACAAAATGAACATTTTATAACGGAATCGCAAAATAACACAGTTTTCTATGGAAATAATAATAGTTATATATAAATGTAAAAGTTTTTTTATAAAGGTATATTTATTTTTAATTAATCTATAATAATTATTATATCAATTTTTATAATTGTAGTTTGTATTTTTACTAGACATAAGAATTGATCAAATTGACAACGTTAAAGATTCATCATGCCTACATTAAAAGCTATTTATATTGTATAAATTTTTAACAAATTAATATTTATTTAATTACTTGTTTATAAATTACAAGTCTATAGTAATTTTACAATAATATAGATATTAATATATAATATTTTTAAATAGTGTTCATGTTTATTTAAAAAACATAAAAAAAATAAACTATTATAAATTGATTATAATCATATTCTGATCATTAAATTTAATTAAACATTTATAAAAGTTTTATTATTAATAAATTATTAATTATAAAAACTAGCTAATTGTAGATTAAACAAACTACATTTATTTATTTTTAAAATATGATTCGTTTGATGGCGCCAGATATCAGTACAATTAATTAATATTATTATTGTAAAATTATTAAATCAATCATTGTTATAAATAAATTTATAATTAAATTCTTATTTTACTGTAAAATTTGGTGTTCAATTTTTTCCATAATAAACTTTTATATATAATTTAATATAATTAATTTGCTATAATTAATAGGTTTTACAGTTTTCTAACATGCCTGTTAGTTTACAGATCAGTATTTAATTAAGTATTAACAAAATTAATTTAAAAATTCTATAAAATTAATAGTTATTTCCAAATATATTAAAATATAAACCACTAATTTTTAAGTTATGTTATACACTTATAAAATTTATTTAATTTTTATTCAAATATGTTATGCTATGGCTATGACCTCGAACCTAACACCACGAACCCTAATGCTAATCTAATGGGAATTTAATTATGATATCAATTATTTGATAACTAATGTAAACACTGATATATTATTTAGTTTAATGTACTTTTTGGGACACTTTTCTCAAATATATTGATCTATTTCATTGTTAACAAGCATAATTAATTTATTTCTTAGCAAAAGTTTTACAATGATTTAAAGTTTAAGCAATTTTAACAAAATAATTATTTTTTAAATACTGAAAAATGTAAATCATTGCAAATCACATATCAGAGTTATATTTACCAATGTAATTTTATTTATTTTGGGGTTTAAACTCGAGTGTGGTATTTTTGTTATTGACAAATAGGGATATTTTTTAATTAATTTTGAAAATATTGTTTAATTCAAAATATTTATGCATTTAATTCTCAAATTACATGTCGAGTGCAGAAAACTCTGGTTTTTAAAATCAATCGCTTATCAAATTTTTTTAACAACAAAGATATCACAAGATATTTATTATTTATCAGAGAGAGAGAGAGAGAGAGAGAATTAATTATTTTATGTGTTAACTATGTCATATTTACTATACAGTAAGATTGCATTAAAAATAGAATTATTTTTGCACTTATATTTAATTAAACAAATAAGGTTTACTATTCTGCAACCATCAACATTTAGAATGCTGTCCAAACGGTTTTACATTGACATAAATACAGTACCGACTACACCAAATGTAGTGTACAGGGTGAATAACCTTTGTCATGTAACATGTTGCATTATCATAAATAATATTTTAATAATAAATTGTCTTCAGAATGTTTCTTATTTATAAATTATTTTAGGTTAATGTATTTCTTAAAAATATAACAAAACTGTAAATTATATTTTAAAAATACCTAGTACTCTTGCTGGCCATATATGGTATAACCGGCATTTGTGTTGATATAAAAAAAACATAAATAGTTTAAAATGACAGTTTACAATTTTGATGATTCATAATAGTAGTTTTACCAACACCTAGTAGTGGGTTATCCATTTATCAAATTTAATATAAATTCCATATAGTACAGTTAGCTAAACAATCACAAAACTACAGTTTCCTAGCATAATTATATTTACTTATAACATCAATGACAAATAACTGGCTAATCCCTAGCAATTTATGTATTAAATACTAATTTTTATTAGATATCAGTAAAATAAATGCTATCTATAAATGCTACATTATTTGACAGGTATTAAACTAGTCTATTTAGTACAATTTTACTACATTATCAAAATATAATACTATATTGCTCAATTAATACGAAATAATGTACCGTTAGTAATAAATTATTAGTATAAATGATAAAGTGTAAGAATCAGANTGTATTTGCAGTTTGAGGGGGCAATCATTGATTACGTGATAGCGGTGTTAACGGCATATATGCTGTATATACTGATTGAATGTCCGATTTATCATTTAATTAAAATAATTTGCGGACAAAACGTGTCGGAAGTGGAGAGGAGTGGTGTCTATGAGAGGACTAATGGAGAGTCTGTCAGGGATTATGAGACAGACATCGAGAGAGAGAGAGAGAGAGAGAGATCTTAATAGTTAAAGTCCAATTTAAATATAAAGTAACCAAGGATTGCTAATTATTTAATTCAAAAATGATCCTGTTTAAAACATAAATAAATATGTGTAAACATAAATATCAATATAACATTTTAATTAATCAAAATATATTGTACGAACAAGTATAATAATTAAACAGTATCAAATAAATCAAAGTAAATAAATTTATATTAGCTACTTGTCACAAACAAAATAATTATTATCAAAATGTCAAAAAAATATTTTAATTTATGGTAAATTAATACATAGCATATAAATTAATCTAGCACTAACATTGATGCTAGCTTGCCTATCAATATAATAGAATATTTTAAATACATATTTAATGAATGATTAGTTTAATATAAACAAACACTTAATCAACAATTTGCACGACTTTTGTACTCAACGCTTGAGATTTAATGTAAAAACTATTTTCACTGTCACTGTACTGAACAATTCAGTACTAAATTGATCATCATTGTAATATTTAATTTTTTGTTTTATTAATTACACCATGTGTTAAATATTCATAATATTTCAATAAATGTAGAAATAAACTATGTTTATCATTTTGTGTTGTTAATATTTCGCATTATTAATAATACAAGCATGGTGTTAAAGACTAAATCTAGCACCTATTTTGCGATATTAGTGCTGGTGGTGCTATGCGTACCGTTTCCCACGACATTGCGCGCCATAGACAACGTGGACTACGAGTACGAGTACGACAACGACGTGGACCCACAGCTGGACGATAGGGGCGGCGGTAATAGTCAAGCGGTGGCGGCCGACGACACGGTGGCCACCGATGCCGGCGGTGCCAGCGATGCCGACATACCGGGCGGTGACGGCCATAGAATGCCCATCCGTTCTGTCAATAAAACCGCGAAAATCGGTACTAAACGACCAAAAGTTGTTAAAAAATTGCCCGATTTTGTCACAAACAACGAGACGAAAGTTGAATTGTTTGCTAAGTTAATGAGAAATCCGACCGTGGTTGAAATGGTAGATAAGCTGCGCATGCGTGTGGGCAATTTTAGCAGGGCAGTTCGGGTCAATGTACGTAATTTTGTGGATGAGGCCAAACAGGGTGTGTCGGAGGACAGTGTGGTTCACGTCCGCAATTCATTGATGGCTTTTATCGAGAGTCTAGAGTTGTCTCCACTCTGTCTCATGTCATTCGTGATGATGAAAAAGGCACTTGATAGAAATGAACGATGGCCACTTAAATGTAAGTATTAATGTGCGTTACCTGGTCAGTATTTTAGATAAAATAATAATATTATAATTTAATTATTCGTTTTGTATTATAATTGTTTTTATTTGAGTAGGATTTTATAATTATTACATCGTGTACATTTGAATTTTGCAGAATAAATAAAAGCAGTAATATAATTTAAAAATTATGTTAGAATTAATTAAAAATTTTATTGTTATATTTTATTGGCATTAGATAGGTGCACTCTCTTTTTACTACAAATAACTAATTAAATTTTTTGAAAATAATTGTGCATGTTCATGTTTATGCAATAGTTTACGACTCGATGCAAATCAAACCCACGGGACTATTGGAGGGTTCGTTCACAAGCCTCGGCCTATACTCTGAATGCCTGGACATAGAGAACGAACACTTCCCGGGCATTAAAATGAAGGGTCAGTACTGTTTGGCCAAAGTTGAGTTGCCATTCATGTATCCCAAGCCTAACAACGAGACCCAACACAGGAGTCCATTACTGCCCGATAATAATACACTCAAACTATTGCAAGCAATCAATTACTTTAGGAAAACATATTTCCGGTTTGGCGTCTGTTTTCCCTCCACTTGTAATCCCAAAGAGATTAATCGGGCGTTGAATACAAGTATGTAGTATTAATTATAATCTTAATTATGATGTTGATTATCTAAATATTATTTTTATTCTATTGTAATTATATTTATTTTACACGTATATAAAATATTAGTTATGTCTCCGAGTGGTAAATCATACGTTGAGATTGAAAAGGAATGTAACGTCAAGAATAAGGACATTAAACGCAATGGCTATCAACGGACAGCACAGTCAGTATTGCATAAAATTAAGTAAATATGTTTAGTAAGTTTTTAACAAAATCTTATTTCACCTAGATCAATATTCATAACCTTGGTAATATTAGTTTTGCTAAGTACTGCCATAGAGTTTTACTACAATTATAAAACCAAGAGTTTTGGCCGCAAACTTGTCATAAAACAATCGTTGTTAATATTTTCGGCCATCAGTAACACCAAGTTGTTATTCAAGAAAAGTCCGAAACATTTGAACACAATTAGCACAATATTACTAATATTTATATCGTTGGAACTGTTGGGCCGATCGTACGTTCAGCCCGTGTTTTACAACAATATCGGTCTTCGGCGACAAAATACGGGCATAACTAAGGAGTTCTCAACCGCTAAGAAGTTCTTTTGGCTCAGAAACAGCT